GCGTTCGAACAGGATGGGGTCGGGGGAAGCTCCTTTCTCCCCCTCACGGTTGGGACCCGGGGGGATGTGTGGACGGCCTTCTCCTCTGCCGGAATTCGAACCTGAACAGAAGGCGGAAGGGCTAATTGTCCGTGTTATGCTAGGCAGCCTCGCCGGCTTCGCATACAAGGCTCAAACAAAGTTCAAGCAAAGTTGACACAACGCCCAGCTTAAGCAAAGTTCATTCAAAGGGCAAACAAAGCTCAACAAAGTTGCAACAAATCTCAACCGAAGCTCCAGCTGAGCTTAATCAAAGCCCACACGAAGCTCCAACAAAGCTCCAACTGAGTTCAAATAAAGTTCAAACAAAGCTGAGAGCTTATTCAGCAAGTTCAAGCAGAGTTCAGCCAAAGCTCAACCAGAGCTCAGGCAAAGCTCAACCAAAGTTCTGGCGAAGCTCAAATAAAGTTCAAACAAGGCTAAACCAACGCGCAACCAAAGCTCAACCAAAGCTCAATCGAAGCTCCAACACGGCTCAAGCAAAGCTCAACCAAAGCTCGAATTAAGCTTCAACACAGCTCAAGCAAAGCTCAATCAAAGCTCCAGCACAGCTCAAACAAAGCTCCATCACAGCTCACACAAAGTTTTTCAAAGCTCAAGCAAAGCTCAAACCAAACTCGCACACGGCTCAAACAAGCTAACACACAGTCTAAACAACGCTCAAACACATCTTCTCAAAAGCTCAAGCGCAACTCAATCAAATTGCAACACACAGCTCAACCAAAGCTCAAACAAAGCTCAAGCAAAGCTCACACAAAGCTCTACCGAAGCTCAACCAAAGCCGACGCGAAGCTTTAGCAAAGCTCCAACAAAGCCCAACACAAGCTCACACAAAGCTCAATCAAAGCTCCAATAAGCTCAAACGAAGCTCCAACAAAGCTAAAGTACAGCCCCGGCAGAGCTCCAATCAATCTCAAGCACAGCTCAACCAAAACTCAAGCACAGCTCGGCAACGCTCAACCGAAGCTCAGCCAACGCTCAAACGAAGCTCAAGCAAAGCTCCACCAAAGCTCTAGGAAAGCTCAGCCAGAGCTCAGGCAAAGCTCAGCTAAAGCTTCAACGAAGCTTAAACACATCTCACGCCAAGCTTTGAACAGCTTATTAAACAGCTCGAACAAAGCTCAAACAAAGCTCGAACACAGCTCACGCAACGCTCCAACAAAGCTCAAGCAACTCTCAAGCAAAGCTCAATCAAATATCACACAAAGCTCGACCACATCTCGAACACAGCTTACACAACGCTCAAACTAAGCTCAAGCAGAACTCAAACAAAGCTCCACCAAAGCTCAACCAATGCTCCAACAAAGCTCCAACAAAGCTCAACATAAACTCAAACTCAACTTGATCGAAGCTCCAACAAGGTCAAACAAGGTTCCAGCACATATTCTCAGGCTTACGTCACACCGCCGATCCCTTTTGGGACTGGCGGTTGTTCTGTGTTGCTCCTCAGGGTGTTTTGGACGCCTTGGGAAGCTCCTTGGAGCTCTTTTGGGGCTTCATAGGGGACCTCTTGGGGGCCTTTTGGTGGAGCTTCTTGGAAGCTTCTCAGGGGCTTGGGGGGGCGGAGTGCACAAAATGTGGGCTCCGGTTCCCCTTCGGGGCCCTTCTTTGGGTGGTCTTGGGGCCCTTTGGGCCATGTTGGAGGCCTCTCAGGCCGTCTTTCGGGCCGTGTGGAGGCCCCCTTGGGCCGTTTTTGAGGGCCTTCTTGGAGGCCTCCGGGGCCGTTTGGGAGGATCTTTGGAGCCTCTGGGGCCCTCGAGGAGCGTCGGGAAATCGACAAGGCCAGAACGCTAGAATTATTAACACAACCCCTGCGAAAATGGATGAATGTAATTTCTTGGGGCCCTCTTGTGAGACCTCTTGGATGCCTCTTGAGGCGTCTTGGGGGCCTCTTGGGCCGTCTGGAGGCCATCGTGGCCGTCATGGAGGATCTTTCGGCGACTCGGGGTCATCTTTGACCCTCTCGTGGGCCTCTTTGGCCCTCTTGGCTCGTTTTGGAGCCACCTATCCTCCCGTGATGCGTTCGAGCCGGGCCCGGGGGATCTGGGCGGACCCCTCCCCCTCCAAATCGACCAGACCGGGCTCCAGGGGGAAGGGTTGGCGGAGGGGAATCATTTCACACGGAGATGACACCCCAAGGGGTCGGCGGATTTTGCCGCCACGTGCACATTGAATTATGTTTCCCAACCCTCCCTTGGTTTGGGTTCTCGTTTTGAGTAGAGCAGTGTGGGCCCCACCTTCCTTCCTCCCGCCCTCGTCCCTCCTCCTCGCCTCCTCCCCTCCCCTCCGCCCCCTTCCTTTCCTGTTTAGTCGTCCTCTCCCTCGTCGACTCGCGGCTCCCTGCGGGGCTGCGACCCGCGCAGTTGTCGACATTTTCGGGTGTTCCTGGGAGGTCCAGCGGAGTGGAGGTCCACGCAGATCTGCCGAGACCTCGCGGCTCCTTGCGGGGTTGCGACCCGCGCAATTGTCGACATTTTCATGGGCTCCTGGGAGGTCCAGCGGAGTGGAGGTCCATGCAGATTTGCCGAGACCTCGTGGCTCCCTGCGAGGCTGCGGCCCGCGAAATTGTCACCATTTTCGTTGGCTCTTGGGAGGTTCAGCGGAGTGGAGGTCCACGCAGATCTGCCGAGACCTCGCGGCTCCCTGGGGGGCTGCGAAGTGCGCGTCTTTCATCATGTTCGTTTGTTTTGAGCGGTCCTTATGTCTGTATGTATGTATATATATATAGATATGTGCATGGCTACCCCGTGTTAGAAAAGGGCTGGGTACGTCACCGGATAATTTGAGAGGGATGGTGGGCCTGCACAAGCGGGGCAATATGATGCCCTTCGCTGTCTTGTCAAAGGACAAAACACGGTGATCGCGTCGCGGGACGCCCGAAGATGATCTCGATTTAGTCACAATGTGCATTATATTGCATTGTGAAAAGGATGGTGGGGGGGCGTCTTTGCTCCGGGTCGGCCGCTGATCGAATGGGGGGTGGTTATACATACGGAGCAGAGGTATGTCACTCTCCAAAGGGGAAGAAGGGAATTAGAAGGGAGGCCCCTCTAACCCACCGACGCCCAGATTGCTGGTGTGATGTTGTTTGCGGCCGTAGTCTTTTGATTCGTGTAGGCCGCGAGAGGGCCTTCGTCGCAGGAGCTAAACTCGTCTCGAAAGTTTGGTCAGGATGATGCTCAGGAGGAGCTCAGATGGGAGGTCGTTGAAGGGGACATGAAGGGGGAAGGATCTGATGGGACGGGAGTGCAATGCCCGTGGACTAGTCTTGAGGCGATTTCGATTGGAGTAGGAAATGTTCCTCTTTGAAGTGCATGTAGGAAAGCAAGAAACCATGACTCCGACGCACCACTGGTTGAATATTTGGCCATCTTGGGCGCCTCGTGGGCTGTCTCGATGCCATCTTGGACCGTCGTGGGGCTACTTTGGGCCATCTCGACGCTGTCTTGGACTGTCTTCGCGCTCTGTTTGAGCCGTCTTTGGCTTCTGGAGAGGCTCCAGAGGCCCTGGGGATGCAGTTCGGAGCTCCATCCTCTCCGGCCCCCCCCAGCCCCCCTTCAAACGGGTGAGAACCCATCTTTACAGACGCTGGGCATTTGTCAAAACACCAGCAGATTGATAATCGAATCGCATTCGGCACATCCCGCCACCGTGCCTGGGTTGCGGGTTCGAGGCCGCTCGGATGGCTGATGGGGTCTCGTGGGACGCGTTTCGGGGGCGTCTTTGGGGCCTCTTGTGTTCTTTCTGCAGCCCTCTTGGGGCTCCCTAGGGACCTGTTGGGTGTTTGTTCGGGGCAGCAGGGGGGCGTCTTTTGGTCGAAAGCTCGAGCTGTGCGTTCGGGTTCCCCCTTCTGGGCCCCCTCTTGGGGCTGTCATGGGGCCCTCCTGGGCCGTCTTGGGTTTTTTTGGGGGCCGTATTGGGGCCCGCTTGGGTTTCTCGGAGCCTTTCTTATGAGCCTCTTGGGCCGTCCTGGGGTGGTCTTGAAGGCCTCGTGGACCTCTTGGACGTTGCGAACGCCCAAGGGGGAAATGTGCTAGAAATGTGCACTTCCCCAGAGAGCATGGCGATTTGTGCTCCTGAAGGAGGCCCTCTTCGGACGCCTATTGGGGGCTTCTTGGGGCGTCGTGGGGCTTCTTTGGCCGTCTGGAGGCCAGCGTTGACGTTTTGGATTTGATCTCGGCGATTCGTGGCCCTCCTGAACCGTATTGGGGGCCCTCTTGACCCGTTTGTGGGCCTTCTGTCCTCTGTCGCGTTCGGCCAGGCCAAAGGGGAACTCCCCCTCCAGTTCGAACTGGGGGGGAAGTCTGGACTCTCCCCCCTTCCCCAGTTCGAGCAGGGGGTGGTTCTGCCCCCCCCTCCCCGGTGTCAGGGGGTCGCCCCTCCCCGTCCCCTCTGTGCCCCTCCTCCTCTCCTTTCGGTTTCGGTGCAGGGGAGAATGATGCCCCCCCCGCCCCCTCGGCTCCCCGGGGGAGGGGGAATTCCCCCCCCCTCCCCCTTCGGGTTCCAGGGGTCGGGAGGCGGGATGCGGAAGGCGGGAGGGGGAGGGAGGACGGGGGGATGAGGAGGGAGGAAGGAGGGAGGAAGGAGAGAATGAAGGGAGTCAGGGAGGGGAGGGAGGGAGGGAGGGAGGATGGAGGCAGGGAGGAGGAGGAGGAGTAGGAGGAGGAGGAAAAGGAGGGGACCAGAGTAAACCCAATGCAGAAACGATGCGAGTGGGGATGGATGGAGGGAGGGAGGGAGCAGCAGGGAGGAGGAGCACAGAGGGGAGAGGAGGACGGGGGAAGATGGATGGGGGAGGGGGACGGATAGAAGAGACATCGGGAGGGAGGCGCGACGAGGGACGAGGGAGGAGGGAGGGCGAATGGAGGGAGGGAGGGGGGGGGAGGGAGGGCGGAGCCAGAGAGGCTGGAGCGAGAGAGGGAGGGCTGCCCCCCCCGCGCGCGCTCCGCGCGCCCTCCGAGGCCGACGGCTCCGCCGCCGGGGGCCGCCCGCGGCCCCGCGGAGCCCTCGGGCGGGAGGCGGTCGCCCTCCGCGGCCCCCCTGCTCCTCCTCCTCCCCCTCCTCCTCCTCCTCCTCTCCTCCTCCTCCTCCTCCTCCTCCTCCACAATTACACAATATGAAAATACTCTCCCACTTCCCCTGATGGCGTCCGGAAGATATTCGGCACCCCCCCGCGTACTGTTTTTTTACACACAGGATTCCCCGGAGTTGGGTTTTCGCTTGTGTTTTTTTCTAAAATGCTGCTCTCGCTGAGGCGCCGGCCTCATTTCTGCTCCCGAATCGTTCCGAATCGTGCTCCCGCTGCAGCGTGGGCCTCATTTTCGGATCGGTGTTTGGCCTCCGTCGTTCAGGATGGCGTTCTCGCCCCAGCGCGGGCCTCTTTCTCGCGCGCCCATCCGCCCGCCACCACCGCGCCGCAGCACCACCACCACCACCACCACCACCACCACCACCACCACCACCACCACCACCACCACCACCACCACCACCACCACCACCACCACCACCACCACCACACCACACCACCACGCACACACGCACGCACGCACGCACGCACGCGCACCACCACCCACTACGCACGCGCGCGCGGAGCCACAGGTCCGCTACGACACGCGTCCGCGGATAGAGAAAATCAGCGCCATGGTAAGGGATGGGAGGGAGGGGTAGGACGTCAGATATGACGCGAGCGCACCTAGCTTGTCTTCCTCCCCCTCCCCCTCCTCCCCCCCCCCCCTCCTCCTCCTGCTCGGACGCCCCCCTCCTGGCCGCCCCCGACGAGGCGGAGTCCCCGGCGGCGGGGCGCCCCCTCTGGGGCCACCAGGGCAGCGGGGCCACGGAAGGCCCCGATAGGGGCCGCAGGAGGCCTGGACGGGCCACGGGGAAGCCCCAACGGGCCACAGGAGGACCTTGTCTCAAGGGCTCCCTCGAGGGCGCGAAGTTATTCGCGCTTCGCGCTTCGCGGTCCTCGTTCCTTCTCCCCCTCCTCCTCGTCCTCCTATTCTCCCTTTGGGAGGGCGGCGCGAGAGCGCGAAGTTATTCGCGCTTCGCGCTTCGCGCAGCGCGAAGCGCGAAGTTGGGAGCCCTAGTTGTCTCGTGCCCCCCCCCCCACACCTGGTCAGGGTCCCCTCGCCCCAGTCTTTCGGATGCAGCTCCTGGGAGGTCAGATTCTGACTTTGCCCTGGTCCGAACTCCGCCTCAATCACGCTTAATCAGTTTTAATCCTGCTTAGTCCGAGGCCCACTCCGGCGTAACAGCTCCCAAATTGGGCCTAATCCTCTTTCAGATTTCCGACGAAAACCTCCCAGTAGTTGCCTCCTAACAGTCTGCTTGCGCGACTGGTAGAAGCAGATCGACGGAGCACCAGCCCAGACCCAGACCCAGACCCCCCCCCCTCCCCTTCCCTTCGGCCAAATGTCGAACCCCAGAGTAGAAAAACGCTGACCTGGCGTGCGCTGCTTCATTTGCCTCCGCCGCCTCCTCCTCCTCCGCCGCCTCCTCCTCCGCCTCCTCCTCCTCCTCCTCCTCCCATCCTCCTCCTAGTCGGCGTTGGAACTCAGGCACTCTGAGCCGTGACGGAGTGAGGTTTTTCATTGGCACTCACCCACACGGCTTCCGCCCCATGAACTCTCCATTTTCGGGCCAGAAGGGGAGAAGGGGGGAGGAGGACGGATAACAGAAAACAGCAATCCCTGCAGCCATTCCGATACAGTACCTTTTGTGACCCCTTCTCGCGTGACAGGGTCGGAATTTGGTGATGGAATTTTCTCGCGCCGCAGCTTTCCAAGTGTCTATGGAGGATTGGAGTGTGACCTTGAACAAAAAACGACGAGCCCAAAACGCAGAGAACGGATCCGCCGTACCCACGTTCGGAAATGCCACACTGCCAGGATTGCGATTCGCGAACAATTGGTTGATCAAGTGCCGTCGCTGGACAGCAGTTGCCAGAGGGAAGATGGAGGCCCGAGGTTTCGGAGGCAACCGGAGACCCATGCATGACTCCGAACTTTGGGAGCAGCTACGCCAGGATATTGAAGATCAACTGCTCCAGTGGAGTCCAGTTGGGCCTGCTTTGCATTCATTTGTCCGCCGGCGAGCGAAGATGGACGACAACGGTTCGAGGGAAGATGGAGGCCCTGAGGTTCGGAGGTCATCGGCTGCGACCGATGAGGGACCTTTTCCTGTGATGGAAATCTCATGCGCCGCATCCACCCAAATTTCGATTGAAGATTGGAGTGTCAAAGAAGCAGAGAAGGTGTTTTTGAACACTTGGCACTTTAGATCGAAGACCGATTGCGTTTATGGAACCCTATTGGCCGAACTCTTTATTCGTTTGCCCGTCGGCGAGATAAGTTGGACGACGAAAGCCAGAGGGAAGATGGAGGCCCGAGTTTCGGAGGCCTCTGGCCTTCGCCAGCGGTGAACCTCGAAACCCAGGACAGTCTGAGGCTGGACACGCGTGGC